CTCTCTGCCATGCCGGAGTGGCCAGAGCCCACCTCCGGGCTGCCTGCCACCCCGCGCCGCTGAGCCCCCCCCGCTTCCCCTCTCCCTCCTCCTCCTGCTCCTCCTCCTGCCGCCACCCGCTCAGCCTCTTCCTCGCCCTTCTCCCTGCTGGCCATGAACTTCCAGGGCTGGCCCGGGCAGAGCCCCGGGCAGCTGCCACCGGTGCCGCAGCAGAGCCGTCCACTCTATATTTTGAGTGGAAATGTTGGGGGGTCATCTTATACGCGCAGTCGTCTTGTACACTGGCAAATACGGTACACAGAGGAGAGCCAGCAAAAGTGTTTCATGTAGTTCTAGTCCTGTGTTGCTTTATTTCATCTTGTACGCCGGCAAATACGGTACATAGAGCAGCGCCAGCAAAAGTGTTTCATGTGGTTCTAACCCTGTGTTGCTTTATTAAATATCTGGCCTTTATTGTATTCGTAGAAGAAACATCCTGTGAGTTGATCAAAGAATTGTGTGAATGAATCCAGGTTAAGCAAGCACAGTTGGTGTCACTCTTAGACATGGGCATGAACCAGAAAACTAGTTGTTTGTGATGGTTTGTGGTTTGTGGTTACCTGCAAATCATGAACCATAATGATCCCCCCAGAAAACAGATTCATGATTCCATTTCTGGGGTTGTGCCGGGGGAAAACTGTCCATCCGCCCTTCCCCTTCTCCTACCCCCATTGCCTCCCTACCTTGTCTTGAAGCTGCGGCCTTCTCCTCCACTGTAGCCATCCTGAGATGCAGCAGGCCTGATTCCTTGCACAGAAGCTGGGCCTGCTGCCTTTACACATTGGCCTGCCTTTCAACTGAGGGGTGTGTGTGTCTGCATGCACATAGGGAGCAGGCTTGGATTCTGTGCAAGCAGGCAGGCCTGCTGCTTTTGTGCAGGCATCTGCCAGTCAGCTGACAGGCAGGCACATGCGCACAGGCAGCAGGTGTCCATCTATCAGTTAAGCGATGGGTGCACGTACACAAGACAGCCTGCCTGGCTCCTTGCAAGGAAGCCAGCCCTGCTCCATGTGCACATGCACCCACTGCTCAGCTGACAGGTTGGTACATGCACAAAGACAGCAGGATAGTGGCGGTGGCGGCTGCAGCTTGAAGACAGAGGGAGGCGACAGGAGCAGGGGAGCGGTGGGCATCTCTTTTGCCAAAGCAAAACGAAGTGCCAAGTGGACAAAATTTGGTGCTTCGTTCAGTTGCACGAACCAAACCATGAGCCGAACCAGTGCAGTTTGTGGGATTTTTTTTCTGGTTCGTAGTTCAGTTCATGCCCATCACTAATCATTCAACAGCATCATTACTAATCAAAGAACATAGGTATTAAGGAAAATCTTAGCTTCAAATATCAAACTTTGATACCTGGCAGATCGCCTTCTCCCACCCAAGTCTACCCGAATCACTCGACAAAGCCAGCAGGGACGGCTGAGGGGCCTTACGCTGAGAGAGGCCCGGAAGGAAAGAACAAGAAACCGGGCCTTCTCGGCAGTGGCCCCTTGGCTATGGAATAGCCTCCCAATGGAAATCTGTCTGGCTCCCTCACTGGGCGTTTTCAAAAGCCATTTAAAAGCCTGGCTCTTTAGGCAGGCCTTCCCTCCAGTCAATTAACTGATTTTCTGTTTCTTTAATTATTCCATCTTGACAATGTATATAGAAATAAGTTTGTAGGATTTTATTATGTATGTTATAACATTGTGTTTTATTATTCATGTAAGCCGCCCTGAGTAGACTCTGTCTAGGGGGGTGGGGTATAAGTCCAATAAAAGTAAAGTAAAAAGTAAAGTTAGTTTAAGGAGCAACTCTCAATGTGAGATGGCTTTAAGTTTAGTCTTAAACCAACCGTTTTTTATTAAGTATATAACCACTTCTATGGTTATTCTGCATAAATTAGTCGAGTACAAGTACCATTCCTTTTTTTCCAGGCATATTTATAACTCTCCCATTTTTTCAGGCAGATCACCATCCCATTTCTTTTCTTATGCATATAATTCAGCCCGTACTATTCCATCCCACTTTCTTTTTAAAATGTTGTTTTGAAAACATCTTATTCCCCATCCATGTCTGTTCTCTTGCTAGGTGTCTGCTAATTCACCCTTATGCTTATCCAGAAAGACTGAGTGCAACTGCTCCCATTTTATATATGGCAAACAAAGGGCAGAATTCTATATTCATTGTGTGTATGTAATAGAGGATAAATGGTCTCATTTTCCACTTCTTTGAGATATTCACATTTCCTAATCCATATCATATGTTTCATGTTATGCAAAGAGAAGAAGCAATAAAAATTATTACCTTCAAAACACAGCCAAAGAGCCCGAAAAACCCACAGCAACCATCAATAAAAATTATACTTACTGGAGAGGAACTGATTATTTTTATTTGCTCAAGAGCTTCTGACAGACATCCTTCTATTTCAGAATCATCTAAGGAGAAAAGGTCTCCTGCACGCGAAAGGTCCTTTTGTCCCAGAACAAGCCCAAAGAGATGATGCATCATTACTTGTTCTGCCAACCAGCGAAAGGTTTCAGCGCACAAAGTGCTTCAGTCAAAGTTAGTGACACACACATCCATAGTCCAGAAGATGACAGGAAGCATATATTTTGAGATACTCTCTTGCATAATCTGAGGGAAGAATGAAGATATTCATAAGAACATTTAGAAATATCAATTTGCACCCTATTGCATTACTTCTAGTAACTGGCACAAAATTTACTTGAAAGCACTTAGCTTGATTGATTGATTGATTGATTGATTGATTGATTGACTGACTGACTGACTGACTGACTGAAAATATTTTTACCCTGCCTTTCTCCTTAAAAGGACCCAAGGTGGCTTACATCATTAAAAACCATATATACAAAATGTAGGTTAACTGTTGGTTTTTTATTATTACAAAAATATTCTGAATAGTAGGTTCCAAAATGAAATAGGAAAAAATTAATCTTATTGAGACCTTCTCCCCCTCCCCGCATGTAGTCTGAGGAGTAGAAATGGGACAAGAAATTCATTAAGACTCTGATGATCACATTAACTTACATACATTTTACTGTGTTGGTTTCAAGTACGGTATGTTTCAGGAATTTAATTTCTGTTGCGGGATGAGGGACACACAGCAGCAGTTGGCAGGTTCTGGCACATAAAAATATCCTGATGTGGCACCCAAACCAGTATAAGTGAAATCTGTGTTCCTCTTGTGAAAGTTTGGCCTTGCACTTCATACATTTGAAGTGTCCTTTCAGCCATTTTGTCCTGAGGTAACTTTGTTTATATTGGCTCACATGTTGCAGGACTACATATTTCTCACAAGTGGTTTTGTAATTATTTTTTTCCGCACCTTCAGAGATATTCCCCTTTTCTTTACATATACAGTAGAACCTTAGTTTATGAACTCCTTGGTTAACGTTATTTTTGGTTTATGAATGGAAATCCATTGAAAACAATGCCTTGGGATTTTTTCCTGCAGTACAAAGGAAGTTTTCCCCAGGATGCATTGTGCCTGGAGGTTTATAGCACCATCCCCGTTCCTATGGCAATCCGGTTTACGGATTTTTTTCATTACGTAATGTTCTGGAGAACGCATTAAATTTGTAAACCGAGGTCCTACTATATGGTGAAAATAAGCTTTTCTTTGTGGGATTGGAGTTAAGTAAACAACAACAACAACAACAACAACAACAACAACAACAACAACAACAACAACAACAACAACAACAACAACAACAACAACAACAACAACGCCAGAGTTGAAAATAAAGAATTGGAAAAACTAACAAAGTACAGAGACCTGGAAGAAACACACTTCAGTGGTCCCCGTCATCATTGGGCCTTAAGGAACAACATCAATAAAAATTCACAAAGTATTATAAGCAGTTGGAGATTTCAGAAACAACAACTCCAGAGCTACAAAAAACAGCAATATTAGGAACAGCATACATACTGTGCCAATATTTAACAGATACTTATTTTTTTTATTGAAACTTGTATCGGTTATATAATACCAATCAATGTTTTTATAATTTTGATTAACTGGGCCTGGTATTTTTGAAGAATAATAATAAGTCCACTTGATTGTGATTTATGCTGACCCTTTCCAGAGTTTTCTAGGAAGAGAGTATACAAAAAGCCGTTTAACATTCCCTTCTTCTAGGGGGCATCCTAGGACTGTGAGGCTTGTCCCCAGCCACACAGGCTGGCTCCCCAGCCAGAAACCCAAACCACTGTGCTATCCAGGAAGCTATTAAGTCAATAGCTTTCTTTTTAAAAAGGAGCACATCTCATCCCTAAAAAGAAGGCCTATGGATTATGGCAGCGGTCCCCAACCCTTTTTTGGTCCACGGACAGGCTGGGGAAGGAGCATGTGCAAACAAGCACACGTGCTCTCTCACACAGGTGCGCGCCCATCCGTGCAAGCACCATGCAGCTGTGCTGTGGCACTCACACAGATGGGCACGCTTGTTCACATGTGCAAACAGCAGCACAGCGCTTGTCTGGGTACGCATGCATTCGTGCGCATGCACAAACGGTGGCGCGGCACTCGCATAGGCATGCTGGAGCGTGTGTGTTCACATGTGCAAACAGCAGCACAGCGCACAAACGGTGCCGCGGCACTCGCATGGGCATGCTGGAGTGCGTGCACAGACGCAAATGGGCTGTGTAGGAGTGGGTACAGGGGGCAGGAGGTCTGTCTCAGCAGCCCAGTGCAGCTCAGGCCATGGACTAGCACCGGGCTGCGGACCAGGGGTTGGGATTATGGGAATTGTAGTTTAGTAAACCTGTAAGGTGCCTGCTTAGAGCAAATTGTAATAGTCCATATGTTCTGTATTGAATGTAATCCATTATGTGTAATAATTTATTACTGATGTTAGTTATTGGAAAGTTTTAACAACCTGCTCCTCAATCCCAAAAGCTCGCACAGCAATATGTGTATAATTAAAATGACAATAACTATACAGTATAAGAAAACAAGTAGAACAGCGAAATTAACATAAAGACCAAATTAAAATGCAAAGGATCAGTTCACAACAGAATTCACAAAGATTAAATAGTGACACTGTGGTTGGCCAAACTGCACCCCATCAGACACATGTAACCCTTGGGAGTTAAATGTGATATTGATTTTTCTGTTTCAATAACAGTTCCACTCAGAAGAATTGTGGCTGGTTTACACACTATGGCAAAGTCTGCATGTTATTCTCATGGGAATGTTCCCCGGCCTGAACAGCTTCTCCATTTGGGCATAGTATTAAAAAAGGTGTTTCAGATCACTGTCAGACTTATAGCTATTATCTATGATCTGGCATAGCTCTGTAATGATAAAGGTTTAATGCACACAGGCATCATGGTGCAACATGAAATCTGCACATGTCAAAGTTCCTCTTGGTCATTCAGCACATTGTACACTGAATCTCTTGCACTGTCTGATTCCACCTAATCATATAGTGTGGCATATGTGGCACAGACATGTATTATGGTTTACACTGAGATTTATTGTGATGCGTATTCCAACACCTGTAAGCCTGATTCCCAAATCACACCAAACCACGGTAAGTGTCCATCTCTACAGGAATTTTATCGCACAAACTAAAACTAAAAGAAGAATAAAACCATTTAAAACCAATGAAATGGTGGATTTAACAAAAAGTATCTCATTCTATATCTTATGCATTAGGTGCAGTTTATAAAATGGTAACATGTTTTGGTTTTGTACACCGACTGTTGTTCATAGACTGACAGTTTTTCAAAGAAACAGGACTCATTATTGCAAAGAGTTTTGTTTCTATATAAAGTCTGACAAGCATACAGTATAAACAGCTCATTCCGAGTACGGGTTCTCTTGTCAATACCTCTCAATGTTGATACATGAATCATTGGCTCTAAGCTCAAAAGACACATCCAGGTACATTTTCTAGACTTATCCCAATTTTTTAAAAATCCAAATTGTATCTCACCTGAGATGTTCATTTCAAGTTTAATTGCAAAGCTCAAAGAGAGTAAGATACTTTGCACTGGGCTATCCCCTCCTCCTGGTATCAAGGATACTGACTTAATATCATTCATTATTGATTAAAAATATTTTTAAAAATCATACAGAGCACAATAAAGAACAGAGGTAAGAAAAACCTTTGTTTGAAACAACATAGGGATGATATTTTTTTTCCTGCCATAAAGTGGAAATCTGTCATCTTTTAGTTTCGCAATTTAAAAACCAAGAGTTACTCAGAAATTATACATATTTCTTACAATACAAGAAAAACTAAGTGGTAAATCAAAACCATATGAACAGGTTATTGCATCAGTGGGATACAACGGCAAAAGTTAAAGGTCACAAAGTCTATACAATACAAGAATAACAAGAGTAAAAACAGATGCACCTTGTTTTTTTTCTAAATCTGTTCCAGAAGGGAACTTGACAGACACACACACAAATGCAAGCTAAAGTATTACCTGATCCACAAGGACATTCGCAGGTTGTTGGTTCTTGTTGTGTTTTTTTTTTTTGTGGTTTTTGGTTTTTAGGTAGGGGGTTTGCAGCGACCAAGTGGTGTATTTCAAGACTCACGGCTGATATGCGGCTTTGCCTGTTTGTTGCGACAGTCCAGTATCCAAGGGGCATAACAAGTGGAAAGTTGTGGCATCTACTGTTAATGCAGTGAACCTGAAGCTGTTAATTACAGGGCCAGGAATAAAGAATTTGTGGAATGTAGACTAAAGCAGCCTAAAAGTTACCAAGGGCTTGATCAGGTGACCAGAAAGAGCCTAAAAACAGAGTAGCCTTATCTCTGAATGAAAGCCTCTGTTCCCAGGTTCCAAAAAAGAAAAGAAAAAAGAAAAGGCAGCTCAACTTGTTGCTTTCAGTAGATAAAGGAAAGCACTCTGCTAATGGAAAAGTATTCTCTCCTGGGAAGAGACCACAGTGAGTCTGCAGCATTTATTTATTTATTTATTTATTTATTTATTTATTTATTTATTTATTTATTTATTTATTTATTTATTTGCTGTTCTTCGACACAGAGTATATGAAGAAATTTTTGTCCAAAGAATAAAATTGCTCATGAATCCAATCCGGTTCTGATGTCGTTTTATCATCTTAAAGTATCCCATCAAAATCTTCACGGTCTTAAACAAGACATTTCTTTGTTATCCATATGCAACTGAAGGAAAATCATCATCCCCTCTCTACCCACCTGAGTACCAGGGAATCTTGGGAATTGTAGTTCTGTACTTCAGGTTAGTGATGGCCATGATACAGCACAATGGTGGCTTATGACAGTTAATACAGTGAACCCTTTACTTACGGAATTAATCCGTATTGGAATGGTGGCTGCAAGTCGAAAAGTCTGTAGGTCGAATCTCCATTGACCTACAATGCATTGAAAACCGATTAATCCCATAACCAGCAGTTTTTATTCTATTTTTGTTTCATTTTGGTTTTTTTCTGGTCTGTAAGTCGATTCTCCGGCTGCAAGTCGAATCTAAGCCAGAGAAGTCTGTAACTCGAAAAGTCTGTAAGTCGAGCCGTCTGTAAGTCGAGGGTCCACTGTAATACTTCATCAGTGTCCATGAACCATGAACCACACTGAATTTTTTAAAAAATGAACTGGTTTGTTGTCTGTTCTTCTCCA